CCTAGAATAAATAGTAACTAAGTAGGCCTAGTCTAGGTTAAAAATAAAAGGCCAGATAAAAGACGTGTGAGTTATTTGCTTTGATGTTTGATAAACAAATAGATTGAAGCATAAACTTGAAAACTAGATAAGAAAGTATGACAGTTTGGGTAGGGTGTAAGGTAGCTAGATTTAGAGAATAGTTTTTGTGTGTGTGTGTGTGTGTGAGAGAGAGAGAGAAATCGGAGCTGTATATATGTATATTCTTCATATTTGTTTGAGAAAGGGTTGAGAGATTGAAACAGCCATTAAGTAGATTATATAGTAACTTGCAATTAGTTTAAAGCACTGCATGGAGAGTTGTGTTATGTCACTGTTTATCAGCTATTGAGATCCTGGATTCGATCTCCAGCGTCGGAGGTTATCCGAACTTCCAAGTGGGTAGAAATCAAGGGTAGAAATATTGGCAACCGTACATTGTAAAAGTGCAAATCACAAATTAATTACTTTACATACTGAAAATAAACAAGAACAATCTTCATTTCAATAGGGCCACTGTCAAAATTATGTTTGCAATTACGGCAATATATCATCTTCACAAAAATTGGACTATATATTTAACGTTTAAAGAACTGCGCAATACAGATATTCTTAAAAAAAAGTAGCTGAACATACGAAACTTGTTTTTAAAGGTTATGTTTGGATTAGCATACAGTAGCAATATTTACAATTGTTTTTTAGTGGTTTCAGAAATATTTAATTTATAAGCATATATTATTGAAAAAGAGATGTCATGGGTCTACCGTGCATGATGCTAAACATATTTTAAAAAGAGATGTCATGGGTCTACCGTGCATGATGCTAAACATATTTTAAAAAGAGATGTCATGGGTCTACCGTGCATGATGCTAAACATATTTTAAAAAGAGATGTCATGGGTCTACCGTGCATGATGCTAAACATATTTTACTTTAAATTGCAGTAATTAATATCGCCTCTTGTGGAGTTTAATATGATCCTTACTATTTCATAGTTAACATGGAACCATCATTTACTGATCACAGAAGAAGAGGAACCAGACTACCCAAGAATTCCGTCAAGCACAATTGCATTGGTGTAAAAATGTAAGTTAGACTTTCAACTTATTCATCTTACTTGCCTTTATTATATAGAGAGAAGGTTTGATTGGATATGAATTAATCCTCCAAAGTTTGTTGGTGCAGCCTGTATATTTGTGTACAAATCAGACTGGCTACGATAATAACGTGCCCAACTATCGAAATAAACCAGAGTCGTGTGGTGATAATGGAAAACAACTTTTATTTGGTTCTTTCTAATACGGTAAAATTAAAATACTTTATATGATGAAACGTTGGTATTTGTGTGTTTCACCTTAACTGTTTAATGGCTATACAGTATAAAGGCAAAGTTCTCTGTCGACCCCATGGTTCAGGCTAGTCATCTCTAATTTTGAGGGAAAACGGCCATTCAACAGCACTCGGCGTCTAAGCTGCGGATTAACTGCCACGTATAAAGCTCCTAATGGCTTAAATTGCAAATCGCAAAATTCCGCGGTGATAGGGTTACGAACCAGGGGACCCAATTCTTGTTGCGTAAGCCACTCGGTGTCACGTATGATGAAACAATCGTGTGATTGTTTTCTTTAGTTACTGAACAGAAAATTTTGTATATTAATGAAGTAATTACAGGTTGACTACCATGTGTATACTCTGAATATGAAGAACAATAGAATAGAAGAATCTAAAATAGGCTATATAACTGTATGATCTTTGGTACACTAGTTAAACAAGTGGACTTATAACGCAGGAATGACAGTTGATTCCTGCTTGTGTGGCTATGGTTAAAGAAAGAAAGAAACAAAACTGTGATGTAAAAAAGCAAAGCAATTAGTAGGAAAGGAATAGTGACATACATTTCTGTTTTGTAGACGTATGGTGAATAAATAAGCACAACAATATGTTGTCTAAATAGGACATACGTTGATCACTGATGACTTTAAGCTTGAATAAATGAATACATATAAGTGTAAGGAGAATATCCAGTTAAAAGGAAGTAGCTAGACAAAACGTATAAATATGGAAGGTTCTGATTAAAAATATAAGACCGAATAGAAAGGAAATCATTAAGTTGCCTGCTATGTGTTAATGATTGCTATAATTTTGTAAACTGATTGGTTCTATAACCACTATAATCTATCGTTAATCTGAGTTTTATTTTGGTTTGATAAAAACTGCAAATAAAAAGTACCACAAAGGTTAACTTCAATGATGTATAACAGTGTCACAACTCAGAATTTACATGTATATTTCCTATGCATAAACAGGACAGAATTGATCATTTTGACTATTCGCTGTAAAACTTCGCATGTGTATTGCAGCTTAAAAATACTTTCCAAGCATAATTATAATATAACACAATAATTTTTTTAAATTTCTTTTCAGGTTCTACAAGAAATGGAAAGCCAAAATACCAGATTTTCTGGTAAAGGATTACCCTTGCATTATCATGTTAAATAAAATAAAAGCATGTAGACGCTATGAGAGCTAGAGCCCTAACGAAAACTTTATTGGAGATATTTAGGAAGGAACATTCTGTGCCCTTTGGTATTCAGTATCTGTGTACAGATTACTGCAGTATCCACCAGAAAAGTTCTACAAGAATTGTGCAGATGGCAATTATATGTCTTCAACATCTGTTTGTTACGACTTCAAAAAATAATTTATTATCGTGAATGGTGTAATTTCAGGAGAAGGCATGTATCCAAATTTAGAATCTACATTAGACACTTCCAGTTCTGATGAACAAGTGTAGGGAAAATATATCTATATTTGTAACTGTACACCTATAATTTACAGACACATGGATTCATAAAAATAGAGTAATGAACTGGTTCTCATGAGTGTTAGTGGTGGTATGAACAAACAGGGGCGTAGAAAACATTTTTAGCTAATTCACTGTTGCTGAAAGTCTTTATTTAGGCCGTGTAATAACTGATGCCAGGAAAGAGAAAGCATTCAAAAATGCACTAAAAGTATTAGAATCTTGTTTTCAAGAAAATTCTTTGTCTTAAACAAATGTCTTCAAATTTACATGACAGATGATGACTTAAAGGAGAGAAGACCATTCTTGGAAATATGGCTCAAGGTCGCTTTGTTGGTATGGCAACTTTATGTTGCAAAAGCTATGTGGATCTGGTTGCAAGGAATAAAATAGATGTCATAAACCAGAAAATTATCAGCATTATCAAGTGTATATAGAACAAATGTGGGAAAGATGTAATGAATGGATCTACCAACAATTGGCACCAATACCAAGTTATTTTACAGATTTTGAAATGCTGCATATTGGATCGTGTGTTATGGTATTCAATTTGAACCATTTAGTAGACTGTTATAATTAAATATGAAACACGATTAAAGCAGTGCGTTTTTGCTCGTGGAAGATATGATAAAATTGGTATCAAAAAGTGTTTCCCTTAAGTTTCAATATTCCTGAAGAAAAAGTTGAAAATCTTCCACTTTAAGGATGCTGAGCAAGTGGAAAATACTTAAGAATGCTAAGGTTGTGGAAAAGCTCTCACCTTGAGATTATTAAGACCTGTCAATCACGCTTCAACCTTTAAGAGGAAACGCCGGGAGGAGAAAAGATGAAAGAAAATTATCCCAAGAAACGTCTTGAAAACGGCGAATATTTTTCAACATACAGCTGTAATGTGTAAACTGTATATATATTAATTTATGACATTAAACATATAATTTAAAGATATCATGTTGTGTATACTCGTTTTGTAAGACCAGAATTTAAACATTTTTTTTTCTAATGATGTGTTGATGTAAATTATAATAGTGCCTTTTACTGTAAGTAATAATAAATAAATAATACATTTATTATGACCGAATCTTGGATCTTGATATGGGGTGCTGCCATCTAGTGAACTTGCATTAGACTTTTTCGTAATGTGTAAATCATGATGCCTCTTTTTTAAAATGAGTCAAATATTGTAACCGAAAAACTTTAAAATTAAAGTTCAGGAACTACGTCATCACAAGATCTCTATTTATTCAAGTTGATTTACTTAAAAATTTTGTGGTAAACCTGTAAAAATTCAACTCCTTTACGGTATTGAAATTGTTCATTAAACAAAAATAAAAAAATCGAAAGGTATTTACATAAGATCTTAAAATTTGTGAAATGTTTTTCTTTAGGGGACAATTTTCATCTTGTACATTTTGTGAGATGCAATGTAATGCAAATATTTAGGCAAGACCAACATATGATATTCTGCTTGACCTTACTGTGATTTTAAGTCATGTTTGTGTTTCACAGTTTTTCTCTTGTTGCAGTAATTGGTTTGTATGACGTTAAGCCTGCAGGAATGTAGGGAAGTGACACTGTGTCTTGATATCGACAGTACATTTCGAACAGCTGTATGAACCCATAGTAAAGTCGTGGGGTGTGTATGGTCGAATGTGAAACGTGACGAAGCCGAAGTCGTTCGTTTTGAGTGCATGGCTGGACGTGAAACGTGTTAAAGTTAAATGTCGTTTTGAGTGCTTGACTGAATGTGAAATATGACGAAGCTAAAATCGATCGCTTTGAGTTCATGTCTGGACGTGAAATGGATGAAACAAAAGTCTGTCCTTTTAGGGGGCCCAACAGATTTGAATGATAAATGTAAAGAAGTGTCAAAGGGGCCGAATCGTACAGCAGCAGAATAGCTACGTAATCCATTTCCCCGACTTTTTACGTCATTTTGATGTTCCCCGAGTTATTTGTATGTGCACTTACAACACGTACGTAAAGTAAGGGAAGTATTTCGGGCACCGTTGTTAATTTTATTGTTGAAACACTGACTTGTCTGCTGTATACTTTGGTTTACAGTGCGTCGTCGTATGAATAACGAGTGTTACATCTATTATGAACTATATATGGCATTTACTTGAGCATTGAATGTGAAAAGTTATGGTGAAAGCTGTTGGTACGCTTCTCGGGATTATAGTTAGGGCCACACAAAGAAAATACTTCATGGCAGTTTTTATTAAATATGGCGAGCGTCTAGTATTTTGTATTACTTAAAATTGGTTTTTGTAAAGCAGTGTTTTCAACTAAAAAATTATTTTACTTTTTCTTTGAAAAGTCTTGTGAAATTTAACAACCGTTTTTTGAAGCATACACTTTCATAAACGTTGTCCAAGTGTTCATATCCGTTGTCCAGGGCATATTCACTGCCCTGCCAAAAGTATCTGAACACCGTGGAATTTATGACATGGCCCACCAAGCATGTCCTGCAGGGGAACTCGGTGAGTAAAAACTATTGAGCTTGGAAGACAAGTATTGCCGACATATGTCCCTTTCGTGGATTTGAAGGAAAAGATTACAGATTACTAGAAGTGTGAAAACTAATTGTAAAACTTGTTCATGTGCGACCTATATTGTGCATGACACATTCAGTGGTATCATAACCTTAAGGGGGGGGGCATAATAAACTTCTAGTATTGTATTATTTGAAAAAAAAAAATCCTAGAAATATGTTGTTGTTTTTCACAGTATATTCACGATGGTTTTAGTGCGTCCAACATGGCTTCATGTGAATGGTTACCTGCATGTGTTCTGCAGGTCCGTCATATTTATGTGTATTGTGAAAAGCAAATCCCTCACACCACCCTAACAACGCTCGTCATAGTTACTGTTTTACGAAGTTTAAATATCGACAGCACTATAACCTTGAAAATTGTTACGATGTTTGTATAGTAACTCGGTCACTTAATCTATTTTTGATTCTAGCATAAAAACAGTTTCGCTTCACTGTGGCGTACAGTAGTCCCCTCGTGATTCACATAGATCACTTTGTTTCAATCAAGATTCTGCATTATCTCCGTATACTTCTATAGCTATCCCAAGCGGAACGGGGAGCGTATCCGAAAATAAGCCCAATTAGGACACCTACCTGTGGAACTTGAGCACGTGTGCCACGTTTAGTCCTATTAGTTTGTTGTGATGGACCTATGAATAGTTTCAAACATGACACCCCCCTTAGTTCCACCACAAGTCCACCTGCCAGGTTTGATCCTGCTAGTTACAAAACTTTGGGGAGAATTCGCAAACAAATTCACAACACGAATTAATATAGGATGATGCCTGAATACAGGCAAATAGTTGAAAACTAATGTAAATAGTTGTACCGAATGAAAAGAGTTGTGATGAGGCGTGTTGTTTTGTAATTTGGTCATGGGACCATTCTTTTAAATACCTTCACTTTTTAATTATCTTAGATATCAAAAGACCTTAAATGAGTACACCGAGAACCCACTGCAGAGATTTTTGGTCAAGAGAACAGTAGAGTGTTAAAGCAGGGCAATGATCCCTGCCGCAGAGCATACGTAAACCAATTCCTAGTTTCAAAACACCAATCATTGTTTCAAAATGGTTTCAGATATTAACTATAAAACAGCTGTGTTACCTGGAGGTTAAATCAGAACCACACAGCAATCAGCTTCTGGCTTTACTTTTAAAACAACGATGGAAAGAATTGCACCAAAGCTGCAAAATGGGATACCTGTGCTGTGCCCACCGCGCGGATTAAACCCTGAATTCTGACGTTACAACTTCCAAGATTACTGCTGGATTAGTAAAGAAAAAGTGTAATACCCGTTTTTATTTATCTGGTGTGTGTTGTCGAATGAGTATGGTAGTTTCGATCTTTCTCATAAGTGATTCATGTTAGCGCTATCGTTACATTTAGTAACTACAAGTCTTTTGAAACTATTATTTTACGAGGAGTTTTTTAAATAATTATGGTACTTTGGCCAGTAGATCATAGAATTCATCACGGTGTTATCTGTGTTGCCACCATTTATGAATATTTATGTTCGTTTTGATGTTGTAGACAGAATTAATATTACCATCATTGTTTGACTCAGTGGCGCTCAAACTTTTAGATCGCCCCCCCCCCCTAAATACCTGCTTATTTGTGCCTATAAAAATGAAAAGCAGATTACGTCACTCGTGTTTAATTATCACTTTGGTAAAAAAAAATTGTAGTCGGATATGAGAATGCTGAGTGTATTGTTTTAAGTATAGTCGTGTTATTTACTGCAGTAAATAATTTTTGCGGTAACTTTTTGTTCTTGTATCTTCTCATGTACTTACAGAATACATTCCGCCCGCATTCCCCATTTTAGAGCCACTGATTTAGCTAGCACGGGTACATAATAACATTTTTTTCTCGCTCCCTGATGAATAATTCAATAAATGAAAACATCGTCTTTTACTTTTTAACTCTTCTGGTGTTATGTTCATTAGAATACAGTTAAAGTGAATTTAACGTGAGAAATTACACATAGTATGGGAGACAAAAATGTTAAGATCCACTGTATCTAAGCGTTGTTGTCTTTTCTTCTGTTAGGGGTTGTCTCTTTCTTTGACTGATGACATTTTGCAGAATCAAGTTGAATGTGAACTAGGAAAAACAGAAACTTTACAAGGTAAGGAAAAAAATCACGATATATATATTATGTAGAAGACTTTGCATATTCTTTGCATTCACATACAGAAGGAATGGGATAAAAGTTAAAGTTAAGTGAATGTGTATTTCTAATTTTCTAAACACGAAATTCGCAAGAAAACTAGGCTTAAGAAGATAACTGGAATTTTTCCCCTGCTCAAAATAAATTTTATTCGTCAAAGTTTAGGCCGTTAAAATAACTTGCGCGCCCAGAAAATGGTATTGTTAATGGAAAGACAGTAGATGTTCATTCCAGTTTTAGGGTAAAACTGCACGCTTCAGTTTTAGAAAATAATCAAACAAAAGCATTATTTAACTTCTATAGTGCATATTGGTGTATAGAAGGCATCATAGTCCTAGAAATAAACGACCTTATAACATCAAAATGTTGTTCATATTTAATTAGACACTCAACGTTTCGCTTTACAGAATTTTTCAGGAGCGTTCTCTAAAGCACAAACCGAAACTGACAGTACAAAGCTTCTAGTGTTAAACAAAAGAAAATTAAAAATCAAAGAATGTTGTCGCTAATACGATATAGGCAGCAGCAGCCTGGGTTGACGAACGCAGACGACAGTTTGAAATCGTTCTGTGATATTGCGTGTATGCTGAATATCTTCATAAGTAAATCTGTTTTTACTAGTATTGTACTTTTTCTAATGTAGTTTATATAGAATGATTGCAATAAAAATAAACAATTTTGTTGTACACTCAGAAAATTTTGGGTCTCTAGGCCTCTCCCCCCGTACTTGTTTTTTAATTGAATGGAAATAAAAGCGGCGTTAGTGATTTCCGATATGCAATCAATATGGCGACGTCCGGTGGAGAAGACCGTTCCGAATTTTTGAACTGATTGGATATGAGGAATATAATTGTTCTCATATGTCATATCCACAAAACTCGCTCCGGTGGCTGTTATTAATGTTATGCGTTTTGCATTTTCCTTTTGTCAGTACGTGAAATTGGTCCACATGCATGGACACAGCAAAAAGTGATTTACTCCTTAATAAAAAGAAAAAAAATCGATGTTATGATAACTTGAACAATATAACCATTAGGAGACAGGTGCTAGAATGTGGACAGTAGGTTTCGGCTAAGTCGTTGTTTGGCTCTTAACGGAATGATCTAATCTTTCAGGCGGAACTACAGACCTTTGTAACCCGGCAAGCCTTTGTGCTGGCTCGTTAAGTTTCTTCATTCATCTTTTCCCGGTACCTGATGGCGGTATCCTTTGATATGCTTGCGTTAATGGGGTGGGTTCTTTTTCTCTCGCCCCTCTTCTATCCCCAAGGTCTTGTTCGAGCATTCTCCCGTAGACTTGCCTTTGTCCAAATTCTTGGAACAGCCTCTTCTTCTCCCTCCTTTAATGAAGCATTTTACACGTAATGACAGCACTGAGATCAAAGTAGAGACCATGCTGAGTTGACATTTTTTTAGATACCATCGCTAAGGTAGCAAACTGTTCTGCTGTATACACACACGGACACTTCATCTTAACGTTGTAAACTTGAGATCCATTTTTTGTTGAGAGTTTTTTTCTTTCATGGTCTTGTTTGTTGTTGTCTTCAGAGACTATAATAAACATTTTTAAGGTTTTGTTGTCCTGTTTGTCTGAATATTAAACTCAAGTCATTGATACGTATTTTATAAACATGAATACTTCATGATTAGCCTTTTTGTAACCATTTTGATTTTGTTTTATTTAAATTTGTGGTTTTAGGTTGATAGGTCACTGGGACATATTTTACTAAAATATGTATTACTTTTTTTTTCCATAAAATTTTGTTTTTAGATTTCATTCAACCTTGACCATTAAGTTAGGGTCTTATAAAATTGGTTTGATTTAGTATTTCATGTTTTTTATACTTTTTTTTTCAAAGTGTGGATCTTTGCCATATTGATTGGAAAACTACAGAACATTTTTAAGCTACATCTCCTGAAATAGAATTAGTTGTAAACTTCCAGTATGTTGCAAGTTAAAAATCATTTCTTAGGTTATTTTTATTCAAGCCAAACCTATGTTTTTTTAGTTACCAATTCATGACTGTTGTTTAGAAATTGTGTTAAAAGTATATTAAGGAATTTTCAGTATGTTTCATCTTATTTTACTGGTTGTAACTTCAAGAATATTTCTCTTAGTTGGAGATGTAATTGGATTTTGATAACAAGGTATCTGTTGGGGAAACAAATGTTTATGGTAAACAAGATTAGTCAAATTTATGTATGCAAAGGAATGTTTTATTCTTGTTTTTCATGTTACAGAAAATAGTGTCGGCATTAAGAAAAATTAATATAAGCATTTAAAAACAATATTAAAATTGCATGTAAATCCTGTATAAAATTTACAATGAGGTCATCAAACACAAATTGTATGTTTGTTTTATTATACTCATTATTTGCAGCAAAGGAAATGTTTCCCAGCAAAGAAAATTTTCAAAGCTGGTGTTTTGGGGGAGGATAAAAAAATACAATACAGAATGAAAGTTAATCAGATAAAGAAATGTAAACAGCAGGCACAGATAGGTTGAACTTTATTTTTTCAGTTTTAACTTTTTTTTGTTTAGATAATTAAATTTTTAAACAACTGATAGAAGCAGTGGTTAGGGAAGCAAGGATGACATTGGAGGAAGGAGTGAAAGTGGAAATCAAAGGGTTAAATCATGGTGTATGGAAGACAAAGCTTCAGTTACTAGTTCTGAAGATAACTTACAGAAACTAATAGAGGGTTTTATTGTGGCAGTAAAACATTTTGAATGCAAATTATTGTACAGAAAATGAAGGTATAATGAAGAATAAGTTGAACATCACACTGAACAGACAACAGCTTGAATCAGTTTAGATATTTTGGAAGTATTCTTAAAGAGGATGGCAAATGAACAAAGGATATCAGGCAAGGATTGCAATGGTTAAAGTGGCATTTAGTAAAAGGAAGGAACTAATTAGGAGACAGATGAATAAAGACTGGTTTGAAGTGTGGAATTGTGTGAAGCAGAGATATGTACACTGAAGAGAGAATACATTTAAAAGATTAGAGAGCCTTATAAGATGTGGATTTGATGATAAATGGAAAAACTCAGCTGGACTAAATGGATAAGTAAGTGAGAAGATGCTTGAGATGATGGAGAAAAATATAACCTTGATGGTAAAAATCCAGAAAAAGGCAAAAGATTGGTTGGGCAGATTGTTCGAGAAGATAGTTTGATGAAGGAAGTCCTAGAAGGAAGAAATTTAGACAAGTGACTTTGAAGTAGGAAGAGGAGACAGTTAGATGATATGAGAGAAGGAGGATCATACTGTGATAGAGAGGATAGTAGCTAATAATTATTCAGTATATTATGTGGCTTACCTGTTAAACAGTGGATATATCACAGATTCTAATAATGGTGTTTGAAACTGGTAAACTGATGTTCTTAATGAAAGTTGATTTGTTTTCCTGCAGCTTAGTGGAGGAGTTTTTAGTTTTAAAAAAAGTAGTTATTCAACTATGCATCAATTAACACAGTTTTGAAATATCTAGCCATACTTGAGGGGGGTACAAATGTGACACATTAACAAGTTATTATTTGAGGTTCATTTGCCCCAAACTCAAAAAAGATGTGTATTTATCTTTACAGTTAATCTCCCATCAGAAGCTCTACTTTCAGAGTTAGCTAACAAGTACAGCATGGAAGACAAACCAGAAAAGGCACAAGAAGAAAAGAGTGAAAAGGAAGAAAGAACAGAGCTGAGCATGAATGTAAGTATTTATTATTAGCAAAATAAAGGTAAAAAAATAACAACAATCGAATATTTGTGTCAAAGCACTAACTTATTGTCGATTGAAGTATTAAAAAGAAATAAACAGATATATTTCACTTGTGTTTATGTTAATGTTTGTAAATTTCCAGCCACTTATTTATCTAATTGTATAAGCTTTAAATTATTTTTAAAGTTTGTTTAGTTGTTAAAATTTTTTATTGAATTTCAACATACATAATTTCTTTTCAGGCACATTGCACTACAATATTAAGAGTTAAAAAAATCGACATTTTTGGCATAATGAAAGGTTAAATCTTTATTATTTATTGTAACTGTTGAAATGAAGCCTTGAAAAATGTCAGTCTTATTTTTTAATGGATTTCATTCAAGCTTTATTATGTTAGTGTCTTTATGCAGATTGTTTAAAGTATGTAAATTTATAAAAGAACCACATATTTCATCTTTTTAAACTGTACGAGCGGTGCTGATGGCAGTTATTCTATCTGTCGGTGCTTATAAAAAAATTAGCCATTAATCTTCAGTATTTACTGCATCACTTTATGTGTCCAGACAAACTGAAAGTCCCTGAAGTCTGATAAATACTGCTGTGTAAATTTGAAATGAGATATTATAAAGTCAGTTTAACACCAAAGTATACTCTGAGTTTGGAATTACAAGTCTGAGAAATGAAAAAAAATATTAAGTTTTGTGATTTGCAAGTCTTGGAGTTAGGAAGTGTCTCATTTAACTTTGACACTCTTTGATTCCACTACTTGTTGAAGGTACAATATCCTAATATGTCCTTGGTATCAATACATAACTGTTAAGGTCTTTGTAAGAGCTTGTTAATTATCAATATGCAAAGTAGAAGGCAGCTGGGAAAAACCACAGTGGGTTACATGGCCCAACAAATACTTCATTATGTAGTAGAATTAAATATAAAAAGGTCACGTAAAGTAAGAAAACAACAGTTCTGTTGTAACTGGTGTAAGTGATATTAAAGAACTATTTCAGTACTGCATAATGTATTTGCTTTTTTATTTTAATCCTGGAGCTAGTACATACAGTTGTTTGTTGATTTGTGTAAAGCTACTATAGAAATCTGAGTTAGAAGTTTCTAAGAAGAGCTAGGTGCTATATGATCCGTCGTATTAGTTGAACCAAAAAAAATTTTTTTCCTTGAAACAGGATCCAAAGATTTTTTTTCTCATGAAACATTTAATATTCACACCCACACCTACCAGTTGTCCACTGGTTTTACTGTACAGGAATTTTACTAGTGTTATTAGGTTAGTGTGGCTGTTTCTACTGTAAAATTATCAGTATGGCGGCTGATGTTTGTAAATTCACAGAACTAAGGAACAGAATTGTATCATACCTTGTGATGGAAAATAACAGGACAGAAATATAATTTTTAGGAGATTAAAAGTATTAGACAATTAATTGTGTTTTGCATTCATCTGCCATTCATAGTGATTAAGTGAACTTAAGTGATGATCACTTAATTGCTTTGAAGTATTCAAAAATACTTTTTTTTGAATATTTGAAACATCTAGGAAAATACTTTAAAATAGTTCAGTATGGAAAAATAAAGATTAAAAAAATGATTTAAGAAAATATAAACAGGAATTGAAATGAAAAATATAAGTTAATGTATTATATCTGCTTTGTAAATTTCTATTGGTCAAAAGATCAATTTTATATTATGTTTGTTGGACAAATGATTAGTTTAATTAATTATACTTGTCATAAAACATTACCTTATATTTTTAACACCACATTCTTGATCTAGTCCCTTAGAGATTTTCAAAACTAGAGAGTTTAAATTAATAGCCTTTTAACTACACTATATTAGTCGTATCCATTGCTGATGATGCTTTTTGCCAGCTTGTACAAGGCATTCACACCATAATGATCGTTGTTATGACAAATGGTTTATATAAGTAGTATTCTGACCACTACTATATTCAATGTATTCCAGCTGGCCTGAAAAGCTCTGGATTGAGCAAAATGTTTCAAAAAAAATCTTAATGTGGCATTATCACCACTTTTAGGAATTTTGTTAGTAATATTTAGGCTTGTTAGATGTTTTTTTTCAATATGAAGTTTCCTGTTTCATGTAGTATTATCACCACTTTCATGATTTGTATTAGTAATGTTTAAGCCTGTTAGGGTTTTTTTTTCACTATGAAGTTTCTTCTGTAATGTGGTATTATAACCACTTTCAGAATTGTTATTAGGAATGTTTGAACTTGTTAGGTGTTTTTTTTCTTTTCAATATAAGGTTTTTTTTGTTTCATTATTACTCTCAGAATTGTTGTTAATTTTTAAAGTTTTTCAGGTGTTTTTTCAATATGAAGTTTTTTGTTTCATTATTACTCAGAATTGTTGTTAATGTTTAAAGTTTTCAGGTGTTTTTCAATATGAAGTTTTTTGTTTCATTATTACTCAGAATTGTTGTTAATGTTTAAAGTTTTCAGGTGTTTTTTCAATATGAAGTTTTTGTTTCATTATTACTCAGAATTGTTAATGTTTAAAGTTTTCAGGTGTTTTTTCAATATGAAGTTTTTTGTTTCATGTAGTGTTAGCACAATTTTCAGGATTGCTATTATTAATGTTTAAACTTGTTACCTGTTGTTTTTTTCAATAGGAAGTTTCTTGTGATTTATCTGTAAGTGACTTAGAGAAGCAGGAGTTTTCCTTTACACTCTACAATTTTAATGGACATGGCAATGTCACTAAAGATGTAAGTGGTTATATATTAGTGTCTATCAATACCAGCTGTATCAAGTGTTTAGCTGATTTTTGTTAATATAATAGCTAGGTTTATTGTTTGAATATTAGAATAAAATTGATTTTACATCTATTAGATATTTGTTTAATTAGATAAAGTTTAAAAAAGTGTTTGAAAATTAAGCTTTTCTAAAGGTATCATTGAAGAGTAAAACACAGATTGTATATTTAGTCAGTTGTCAACAAGCATCTGTAGTTAGTGTTACTATCATTTACTTATCAAGTTTTTAGCCAGTATATATCAATGCTAGTTCTAGCTTTATCAATTGGCAATAGTTAAGAATATCATTAATTCATTGCAAGCTTTGTGAAGTGTTAATAACTGTCAGTATTCACTGTATGTAAAATAAGACTTGTTTTCTCTAGGATGTTGCAGGACTAGTACGATCCATTCATGAAACTTTAGGGAAATCAGTTAAGCTTCCTCCTTCTGGTAGCCGTACAATCAAGGTCAGGTTAGCAATCTCACCTGACTCAACAAGTCCAGAAGAAAAAGAAGTTACTCTGCCATCTAAAAGCACAACTCCAAAAGAGACAGACAACATTAAAACACCAGTGAATGAATTCAAACAATGTAGTAACCAGAGTGTAAACACCTGCTCCACTTATTTATCCTTTTCATCACCAGAGAAAGAAAACTCAAAATTCAAGTGCCAAAATTCTTCTCCAGTGACTAATAACTTGCTAACATCTACAGCTGAAACAAAGCCGACTGGATGTTCTCCTGCTACTCCCAAATCTCAGCGGGGTTGCCGGTCTAGCTCACTTCAGAGACAGGAGATAATACAAGAGAGTGTAGAGAAGTCTTGTTTAGACTGTTCAGAAGAAAACAGGTGGGCAGTTGATGGGTAACTTCTTGTGTGTGTGTTTATCATAATCAGATTACTTGCAGGTACATATTTTTAAAACTATTATATTTAAAAGTGATATAAACTCTACTTCAAGAGGAAAGTTATGTAATGTAGTAACATTTCAAGTTAGAGTTAGTTAAGTGATGATTTATTTTTCAATATAACTCTTGATTTATACAGTTTATTTAGATACTTCTAATTATTATATAAAATTATAAAGAACCACACACTTCTTCTTTTTAAAGGAGACAGCCTGGGGAAAAGCATTGGCACAAGCGACGGCATAGGCATCATCGTAGTTGTAGAAACCATATAGCTGAATGTTGTGATCGATATAACCATTATTTGAACTTGGATGTTGATGAAAAGTTCCCTTACGAATCTCGTTACCCATTTTCATACGGTCTGTCTGAAAAAAATCACATGGACTCTCGATTGCCCTACCACCAGGAAGTCACAGAAAGTCACTGTAATAAAAAGTTAGGTCATTGTAGTCACCAGAGATCAAAGTCTCATGATGCCAATACTACTGCTAGACTTTTTCACTACCGTATGTTTTCTAACCAGAAAGATGATCTCTTGAACTTAAATTTTGATCTTTGTGACTTACTCCCTGAGGAAAAATTTGACTGGGAAAGGCAACTACCCCACAGACGATCTAAGTCGTATGATGTTCATGATCACTCAAAATCAAACTTTTTGAATTCTCCTAAAGCAAAGCAACGAACTAATAGAGGTGTTACATTCACAGCTCCTACAACAGGAGCTTCTCCAAACCACCATCACAAGCAAAAACACCGGGAACGTGAAAGGATGCGAACAATGCAACAGGTAGCTGATTGGTTGAAGAAAGAGCACCTTGGTGAGATGTCCAAAGAAGACAGCACTAGTAACTCTCAGGTGGTGATTCAGAGGCATGAGCACCATCATTTTCATGAACATGTGCACCATCATTATCATCATTATGTACCTTCTTAGCCTGAATTGTGCTGGACATGTAAGGGACCACTTGATAAGTTCCAGATTGTCTGTGTTAGTCCATGTTTGTATTACTTCTGAATTGTCCCGTTTCCTAAGTGGGCAATAGGACAAGTGGCGTAAAGTCCCACCAGCAAGTTTACTCAGGTAAAAAGTTCCAAAAAGTAATACTTCTAATGGTTGAATGTATTTTTTTCAAGTCACAGTATGTTAGAGCATCAATATTTGAATTATGAATAGATTAACTTGTCCTATTTTTTTAGGTTAAGTAATGATAAGACAAACCTATCTAAATGAATGTTATCTCTTCTGTGTGCAACAAAAAGTGTTTACTTGTTAAAACGTCCATTTTGTTTTTAAAAGTTCAATGCCATTTAATTGTAACTAGAGTTTAGAAATGTATTGCTACAGTACAGTACTCTATTATTTGCAAGTTATTGAAGCCATGGAATTGGAAAAGTTTATTGTTCTTCAAAGTTTTTCAGAATTCTGCTTGACATATTCTTTTCAATTTATAAAATACTGCTAATTTAAGTGCTAGGAAGATATCTTACTCAAAATTGGGCTACCTTATTTGGAACTACTGAACAGAAAATTGCAGGCCAAGAAACAGTTATCATTAATGTAATTTATTTCTTTTTCAGTTAGGCTATTAAAAATATATTTTTTTTCATAGAAGGACTCTTGAGTTTCAGTTGGAAATATTTTAATGTATTGCTTACCTTAAAAAGCTCCTTGAATGATTGCTAACTGAACAGTTATGAAGATAGCGCAATCTGTGTTAAACTTGGGTCAGAGATTACGGGTCTTAACCATTACAGAGTGTAAGGTAAAAAATGTATTTATCCATACTGGTTATTTTTCATTTTTAAGATACTTTGATAAAACTCAGTAATGTATGAGTCTATTTATATGAAATCTTTACAGTGAAATTTTATTTTTCTTTTAGATATTTTCTGTTGATTTCAATTAGGTTGTTACTTATGAGATTAAGAACATTTATCAGATTGTTGTTAGTGATATTTTAGAATCAACACAACTGAAAAACTAAGATGCAAGGGAAATATGTGTTAAGTTTTATTTTTTATGCAAAATAAGTTTCAGATTGAAAGTGTTTTTACATTTTTTTCTTTGGTGAATTAAAAATGTTTACATCATACCAGTGACCTGGAGATTGAGATGTAATATTTTCAATCATGGTATAGGAAGAGTGGTTAGCTAATCATGGTGCCATTCAGAATGTAGTTATCAAAATTCTAAAAACATTGTGTCAATAAGAAACTCAGTTTATAAATATATAATTATATGAATTGATGATTTTAAAAATAGGCTTTTTATAAATTAAAATATTAGCAGTTACAGAATTTCTTCTTTAATTTTGTATTTTATTTAAAATGTTTAAGTTAAATAAAAAGATTTTTCAGTATGACTAAATACAGAAACAAGACCAAGCTGAACTTGCAGGTTTATGAAGTAGAGTGAAGATTAATTAACGTGATTATTATGTTAATCAAGAGTAAAACTTAAATATACAAACAAATATTATATCTAAGAGTATTTACAAAGCAAATACTCAAGTAAAATTACTGTGCTAAGAAAAGCCAGGATGTAATTGTTTCAGTGATGTACAGGGCCAGTGCCACCCGCATAAATCTATGGGCTCGGAACAAGTCTTTTGTTTGGATCCCTCTCACAAAAATTTCATTTTAAATTTATAATCGAGCCCTCTTCACCCATCTCTTCCCAGTAAATGTATGAGTAACACCATTGTGGAACTTGTGCCTTTGCCTTCTTTTTGTGTAAAAACAAGGAGTTTAAGAAAATTTGTCTCCTGAAGAAAGAAAACAACGAGCCCAAATATTCACGCTAGTGATATATTTAAAAAGTTCTGTTCAGAAATAACATTATAAATGTCCAGTATTGGTACATTATGTCAATATACCTTAAAAAGCTCCTTGGATGATTTCTAACTGGACAGTTATGAAGATAACATAATCTGTGTTAAATTTCGGTCAGAGATTACGGGTGACTTACATTATCATGGTAAAGTAAAACAGTTTGTATAATTACCTATAATACTACTATGGTATATTGACATATGAATTTGCACTATAGCACATCATACAGGTCTAATAAATTGGATTACAGTATCTTTACTACAGTGATTAGAAGTATAGTAAATATGCCATCACATACTTAAAACAAGAAACATGATATACACATGGGATTGTTTTAAAACTACTTAGTTCATCAGTTCAACATTACTTAAACGTCATCTGCCATGCAGGTAGTCTTGGACATCAAAATGTTACCTAATTCTATATTGTATTTTTAAGACTGAACAAAACTGTAATTTCCTAATGGGCCACCTCAAATCCCCCTTTCGGAAATATCATGGAGGTTCTGACAAAAATACCCTACTTTTTATAAACTGTAGTGGTTGAACAAAACACCCTTTTCTTCATGAAAGTCAGAATGTGGACCATGTATATTGAAGGAGGTGTGAACACAGATGTAACTCTTTGACATCGGTTAAGTAGCCAAAGTTGTCTGATCCCACCTGAATGCCTGGGCTTGAGACAAGATATTCGGTTGTCCTTCTTGTCCCTTTCCACATAGATGCTACTGTAAAGAGCAGATAAAATAGCAGAAAGGAAGAATTTTGATGATATACAGTTAGAGTTGTCAAGTTTTAAGAATGTAAATGAAAGTAAGTGGCAAGCAGCATTGCTGCAGAGCCCTACTATGGGGTACAGGGTCATGTTTTGAAAAATGAAGATTGAAATGGTGTCTTCTCCTCCATTTTGACATGCAAATTTTTATAAATTATATAATCACTGAAAAGAAGTCTGAACCTTAAAGACTAGTATTAATCTAATAGTATCTCATTATAAACTCATAGTGATATCATTTGATGTTACAATTCTTCATTTCTTTCATTTACTTACGTGGGCATCATTATATTCCTTATTGACATTCTTTGAAGGCACAGTGACCTCAAACTTGAGCATGGTTCATTTGTGGCTATTCTCACAGTCAAAATATTGGCTAGTGTGCCATCAAGTGTCATACTGTCTTTGAATGGGGGTTATATCTTGTCAAACCTAGGCTATTTTGGCTATGAGATCAAACTGGAAATGCAGTTTTAGTGTTCTTTAAACCTGGTACTTGTTGGTAATATCCAAGCCCACAAATGTCTCATGAAAGAGTGGACTTACTTCTGAAAATGACAAATGTTATGTGTTGCAATTATTCTGTTTATTTTCACTTCAGTTCTAAGAAAGTAGAACTAAAAACATCTTCACAACAGCTTATTCACAGACAACTTTAATCTTAGTATATTTATGAAGTTATTAATAATTTATTTTCACATGAAACATCGACATATAACTTCACCCAATATTTAAAGCCTTAAAAACATAATAAAATCTACTTGCACATATTCATAAACCAGCTTACTGGTATCACCTGAACCCTAGTTTGTCAAACAAGACGGATTTCTTAGTTTCTGCTCATATTTTGTATAGGTTATACCATACTATCACTGAAAATGGCTTCATACTAAATGATATAATCAGTGTTTACTATGAGTTCTTTCTGGGTTATGGTTTTGTCAGTTGTTTGTGAAATGGGTGAAGAAGTAGGAAGGTGTCATATAAGGTTTACCAGTTAAAATTTACTTGCATTTAAAACATATTTATTTACCCCAACCAATAGAACAACCCTTAAAATTCTAGTTAATATCAAGCTAAGCCTCTCTATGCTTTTGATTTTAACGTGTATCGAACCTTTCATGATCAAATTAAATTGATTTTTTGCAATAGAAACCCTCAGTTATGAAGAGCCGGATTGTGGTCCGTGGCTTCTGGAAGGTTGCATAGATGATCTTGTCAGAATTACATTTGTTTCTCAAATTTCCACATCTGCTCATTGCCGTAGAAACAGAAACAACATTGTTGCTGTCGCTCTTAGTTTCTGACTCAGAGGTTGAGGGTACATCATCTTATCAAACTTGTATTTTCATGGTATCCTATTTGATTATGTCTTATTAACTTCTATCAAGATTTGCATGAAATTAGGTGATTAGTGAGAATGCTGGAAAGAATGGGGTGTGAATTAAGATAATTTATTTTGTTGATGGCCATAGGTTGTGCACAGAGTCTGTCCATTTTTTCTGGTCAAATTTTGTTCCCAGGTGGGTGAACTTAAAACACTTGCAGGTGGAGGAGACCAAATGTGGGTGTCACTTGCCCAGTCCAGTCAACTTGCACATGAAATTGCAGAAACCAGGATATGATTGTTTTGATGAAGTACAGGGTAAATAAAAGAGCTAAAAGTGATCAAGCTGTTTTTAAAATTTTCTTTCCAGTTGGACATGAATTTTCAAGTATAACCTCTTTCACTAATGTGCCTGAAAGTATTTTTTGGAGACTACTAAATATTTAAATTTTGCTGTCAATAATTGTGTGATGTAACAAGTATTTATATTAATGAATGGGGAAATCATCATTTCAATAATAACTGCACTTAATCAGAATCCACATTGATGCCACTGATGAATAAATTTTACTGAAGAACTGTTAACTGCTTTTTTGTACAAAAAAAAAAAGTTTTATGAACCCCCTCACTTATTAACTTAAGTATCTCACAAATGATTGAGATTGAAATGCAAGGTTGTGTTAACAGTGTAACTGAAATTCAGTGTATTCTATATTTCCTATTGACTATAAAATGAAGTTCAGTATATAGTTTATACTTTTGTAAACTGGTGTTTTTGTTTGTAATTTGGGTTCATTTTACACTACAACTTATCTTTTAATGCATTATATAGAGTACAAAGATAACTGAGTAATACATGATAAGATGTGCCTATTTTTCACATATATATGCACTAATATCTATTAATATTTATTGCCTTTCTGAGGTTTGTTTAGTGTACAGAAATGTAAGTATTTGTAAGTGCTATATATATTCTACAGGCAGTAATGACTGTGTTTGGTGAGTCTCGTATGTAAACTTCCTGTTTGAGGAAATAAATACTTGAGTAATTATTCCTGTGTGATGTGCTCCCAATTATAAAACATCATTAGAAAGCAGTGATCATATTCACATACTGTACAATGAAATGGGCTTTGTTTATTGGTTATTGGATTTTTTTTTAACGTTAACAAGGTGAAATATGTAATAGTTTTTGATGTTAAATGTAAGGTTCACACCTTTGACAAAATTCAATCATTGAATATGCATGATCATATCCATTTTTGATAAAATCCAGTTGTTCTGTTTTCTTGACTTCTAATTGGCTGAACTTTTGTAATATTTTGTGTACAATCATAACGACAGCGAAATAAGTGGATCAGTTGAAGTGTTTATTAAATGCTTCTTGAATTTCATCAAATTGCTGGTGACATATGACACTTCAAAATAAATACGTTCTAAGTGTAAGTTGCTTAACACTGTTATTATCTTCATTAATCTGTCATTTAGCACTAGTATTAGTGTTTCCAGTTTTGAATTTATTTTTATAAAATTGATTACTGAATAGTTACAAGCACCTGTGGGATAAGTTTACATCATCTCACGTATCTAAACATCATTTTCAAAGAATAGTTACGAGCACCTGTGTGATAAGTTTACATTGTCTCACGTATCTAAACATCATTTTCAAAGAATAGTTACGAGCACCTGTGTGATAAGTTTACATCATCTCACGTATCTAAACATCATTTTCAAAGAATAGTTACGAGCACCTGTGTGATAAGTTTACATCATCTCACGTATCTAAACATCATTTTCAAAGAATAGGAGTTGAATGAATCACTTATAATCCTGAAGTTTCATATTTATCTTATAACTGTTAAAAAAACTAGTGATAATACAATCACAGCAAAGTACATTTAATAATTAGTTTGGTATTTTACACGGTTATTACACATTTCTTTCAACTATGAATCATAGATTATTTAATTCTTAATAGCAGCTTTTTTAGTATTTTTTTAATAACAGTATTTTCCCTCATTCAGTTTTTAAAATAAAAAAATTAGTCATTTTATAATATAATTTTTCTCGTATTTATTATGATATTCTAACATGGGCCAAAATTTAAAAATCACCAGATTGGTTGAACATCTTTAATCACTTTAATTAAGCACAGAAATTATTTTGACACCTTATAGGTGTTTTCACATCTCCATCTACCAGCAATGAAACTAATAAAACAAGAAAAATGTCAACATCCACATTGCAAGTTCGTTAAGGTGAGTTTTAGGATTGTTGTTGGGAAGAAATTAATTTATCAACACTTCAACCGGTGAGATTTTATATAAAAGCTATCACTAAAAAGAATAGTATTGCAAATGATAACAATGGTAATCTACAGTGTGAGAGCCATTCTAATCCTCATGTTTTTCAGATTTAGAATAAAATAAACTTCCACAAATTTAACTGTATCAAAAAAGCAATTCTAGTGACATAAGCTAAAACCAGTGTATATGATAATAGTATTACTTTAAAAATTCTTAATTTCTAATTTCAGAAGTGCGTTCTCTGTTTTACACAATTACGATTTTTTGATAACTGACATGTAATTATAAACTTGGATTACATGTTCACTAGAGACACGTTATTATACAATGGCAAAGAAAAGTTTATTATGAAAAGTGGTGTAGAGTTATATTAGTTTGGGTAATGACGTGACTCATGGTAACACCATACTTGGTTTTATTTTAATTCAAGGCTCTCTGCCCTTCACAAGGTTATCTGGTTCTTAATGTTGATTGATTTAGTTCAAAAGTTAACTTCACTGCCAGATATGCTTCTTAGTGTTTTGATGTTCATATCTTATCACTATTTGATTTTACATAGACTGATGTATAAAAAATTATAATAATTGTTAAATGGAAGGTCTAGCAACATTTTGTTTTACATCCATTAAAATTCATACAGTTTGAATAGATAATAAATTAAAATTGAAAATAAAAGGAGTTTTTTATTATATACAACTAGTTAAAGAGTTAGAGTAAAAATGTTCGTTTTGATATGTCATTACAAAAGCAAGGGATAAAGTTTACCATTTTGTTACTATATTTTCTGCATCAAAAAATTAGATAAGAACTTGCATTTCTAAATTTCAACAGATGAAATCAGGCCACATTGACTTGGAGGACCAAAACCCAAAATATACATTTTAAAGACAAAACCTAGGCACTATTTTTTCTTCAACATGAAAACTCATTTTTCAAACTTGCATTTTCAGTGTTTCTCTTATTCACATAGGTTTGTCTCCATCAACTCTTGTTGACCAAGGTGACAAGTATTAAAAATGTGTTATTAAAACCCATTTTAAAGAAAAAGATAAAAAAGAGGGAATCTTCAATATTTGTGGCTGTAATTGAATCTCAGAAAGGAAGAATGATTGTACAGGTTGGTGTAATCAAGTGACATAGCTGTTGGATCAATAGTTCTAACATTACACTCAAAACCCATGTTTGTACCTTCCCATTAAATATCAGGTAGTCCAAAACCAAGTCTACAATGAAATCAAGAAAACCAGAGCTTTGACTATTTAACAAAGATATCTGAATATTGTAGTAAAGTATTGAAAAAAGTATCAAACATATTTTGAGATAATTTAGTAATAATAATTGTAGAATGTATATAATGAATATCTTATCTCTGAATTTACATAAGGGATTCAACTTGTCTCCTAGACCTCCCTTCTCCCCTGTGTCTGCTATCTCATTTTTTTGTGAGGAGTTTAGCAGATGTGTAGCAGATTAGTTTCCAGACTGGAACATTTCAAAAAATCATTTGGTGGAAAATGTTAAAATCACCTAGTTTATAAGAATGGGATTATTTTTATTTGTTGTTCAGCAATTTCAATTATACACACACTAAAAACATTAGTTTGGAAGTATGATGTAGACAGGTGTGTCGATGAGCATAACTAGTAAGTTCTTCAAACTGCTTGCAATATATAAAAAAAAACTTTTCAAACCATTTTTTACAAGTATTTTCAGGCTTTGAAAAATTCATCATTGATCATCAAGCCACCTTAATAATTGACTAACAGCATCCAATACAAGATTAAAAAAGTCTTAAATCCGTAGTGGAACACCAATAACCAGTTCGACTACTATACGCATTTTCCCAAAGAAACTGTCAGTATTAAGGAAGTCTTAGTCAGTTACATATACAATAGTTCATTTCATGGTTGAGTATTCTTAAAAGGTATTCACTTTCTCAGTGTAAGATACTAAAATTCAGTTCAACTAAAATAATTATTAATGTGTAGCTAATATTTGCTTTACGTGCTTGCTTCTTCCTAACTGTAAATTTTTGTCTTGGAATACTATGAACCAGCAAAATTTAATTTGAACCACTGATATATTTTGGTTATTGTTCAGTAGAATAGTTTCGAAAAGCATCCTAGCATTAATATTATGAAATAAATATAAAAAATTATATAGGAGAAATCATATACATACAATCAGCTGTTGATGAAGAAGATGATCAGCTGTTGATGAAGATGTACAACTGCAAGGTTCATCACTATCATATAATTACTTGGGATAACACTCCAGTCAGAAAGCCTTAATAACATTTGCTACTTTTCTTTCCTTTACGAGCATAGCAAAAACTGATAATATACACAACCGTTTGCATATTTTGGGAGAAAGTATTAAAGACTTGTGAGGAAAAAAAATCTAAAAAATTACTTTAAATGGTTTTTTTGGAAATATTTTCAATTCTTTATTTTAATAAAAGTTAAGTACTTGTTAATACATATTTTTTAATCATTACAATACTTATTCATAGTACTTTCAAGTCTGATACATATGTCCAACTATGATGTAACAAATTGCAAACATGGTCATTTAACAAATATTCAAAAATCTCATGAATACAGTCCCTTTTTAATCAATGGGGTAAAAAAAAGTTTGGGTATTTTATTATTTTTTGTCCATATATATGAATTAAGATATTGTACTTGACAATAAATATTTATATCAACATTGTATTATGAAAAACGTTAAAAATATCAATAACTTTTATGTTGATGTCAGTATATTGTTTTCAACAAATGATAAACCTGTTTTTGACTTTCTAAAATGCAGAATCCTAACAATGCAGACATGTCACGAAGAAGAAAATATAGAATAAAACATGCCTGATCATATCTTCTCTTTCTAGGTGGTTAATAGCTTTTTGATCTCTCAAGCACCTTTAATTACATCCAAAATGATAAAAATGGCATTCAAAAATTTATGTGTTTCTTATTTATGTTATTAAATGTTACATGTAAAATAGCTATCAATATTAATAATAAAATACGGTATACTATTATGAAGTTTACACTTTTGGAAAAGTATCCTTTAGTAAATTAAGCTTTGAGTTTGTCAATATACAGGTCTTAACATAACACCTTTATTCAATGGGAAATTTGAGATTCTACTTAAATCAACAAAGTTTCAAGTTCTCAAAGAAATAACCAGAACTACGGTCACTGCTGATTGGCTAACAGTTCAAGATAATTTTTTCTTCTATTGAGTTGGTGAAGCACTGAACTTATTACTATTAAATTATTTTCAATTATCAGATATTTTTAAGTTTGATAACACCTATTTAACTGTGATGCTTTTTTTATTTGCTCTCTCTCAAAATGAAAAGTATTTGTTTCATTAGTATAAGGATGATTTTGTACAAATAAAAAAATAAGCTACAAACAGTGATTCGAAATAAGTATTATTTTCGATTTATTAATATATATATCTTAGAACACTAATATTATGAATCAGAAAACAAATGTTTTACGAGAAATCACATGAACACCTGAACTTGAAGATCAACAACTACAAAGTCTGACATTATTATAAGTACCCATTCGGCAAAAGTCGGACCGCAAAACCATTTAACGTGGTTCTAATAAAGTTAAATGTAATTATTTGGTTCCTAAAAGGACATTAACCTCTTGAATACAAACTTAAAATATACCCTATATTCTAACATACGTGCATAAACATAGAATAAACTAGATTCTCGGTGTCAACAGGAGTAGTGTCACAAGAATAAACGGTCACCGTGGTACCATGTGTCAACAGGAGTAGTGTCACAAGAATAAACGGTCACCGCGAAGTGGTTTGTACCATCTAGTTAAACATTAAACAGTATCTATATTCATAATTATTTCGGTCACAAGTTTTTCCAAGTCCTTCTTGTGTAAATTCCCTACTTCCATCACCTCTTCATGATTGGCCGGCATCTCTTCAGAGTCATGTTTCATGACACAACTGTTGGTGATTAGAGAGATTCCGATTACTCTAATCGCACAGTGACGAGCAGCAATGACCTCGTGAGCTGTACTCATACCTAAAACAAATAAATTATAAACACTCACAAGGAGGGAGAACATTACTGGTGTTGACATCTTTTTAATAAAATTTAAAAAATAAACATTAGAGTTACTATCTTGTAAGCTAATCTGAAACACATAATTTACTATTTCAATAGATACTTCAGTTAGCTAGAAAATTCATAAACAACTTCCTTCACTGAACTAATAAATTAAAAATAGTCGAATTACTTTTTTCAGACCGATCTTCTTAACATTGTTTTATGCATTAGGTACATAACATACATGTATGTCTACAGATGAGTGCATGACTTAACAAGACTGTGGCCCACATACAGTGCCTTGCAAAAGTATTCACCCCCTGCAAAGTTTCCACATTTCATTGCCATCTGAGCTTGCAATCATGAATCTTTCAAATGGGACTTTATATTTAGAATCTACAAAATCTACTTTAAACTGAGAAAGCTAAAAAAATATGATATTATGTAAGCAAGTTAGATTTTCAAATAAAATTACATTATTCTCAGTTGCATAAGTATTCAACCCATTTGCTACGGCAACTCTAAATCAGTTCAGGTACAAAAAATTAGTTTGAAAGGTCACAAAATTAATGTAATGGCCTCTGTCTGTGTGTGATTAAAGTGGTTTAACTTGACTTCAGAGTAAATGCAAACTAACCATCAAGACCAAGGAGTTTTCTAAACAAGTCAGGGATAAAGAGGTAGAGGGGCACAGATCAGAAGAAAATTTCAAAGTTTCTGATTATCCCATTGAGTACGGTGAAGTCCATAATTGAGAAGTGAAATGTGCTTCATACTACCCAGATCAGGCCGCCCTTCCAAACTAAGTAGTCGAGCAAGCAAAAAACTGGTTAGGAAGGCCACCGTGAAGCCAACAGTGGCTTGGAAACATTAGCAAAATTTCATATAAGAGATGGCAGTCAGCGTTTATACATCGACAATATCCTGGTCCCTACACAAAGCTGGCTTGTATGGGCGAGTGGCAAGAAAGAAGCCATTACTGAAAAATAATCATCTTAAATCTAGTGTGGAGTTTGCAACAAACAGGTTTTGTGGTCAGAAGAAACAAAAATTGAGCTTTTTGGTCTAAATTCAAAGCGTAACGTCTGGCGCAAGCCTAACACAGCACATCACCCAGTCAACATCATCTCAACTGTCAAGCATGGTGCTGGAAGCATCATGCTATAGGGATTCTTCTCATCAGCAGGGACTGGAAAGCTTGTCAGTATGGAGGAGAAGGTGGATGGTGAATAGTTCAGGCCTACCCTAGAGGAAAACCTGCTTGAGTCAGCCAAGAATCTAAAACTGGGTCGAAAATTCACATTTCAGCAGGACAATGATCCGAAGGACAAGGCCAAAACCACACTGAAATGGTTTCAAAAGGAAAATGAATGTC